TAAGTGGGAGAACGTGCACAATTGGTGGCTGACTAAATACTTTTTTGCCCCACTGTAACTGCATCTGGGATTGCCAGAACTGCCATCGCTAAGTGGAGCGGTCACGTGATGTTTTGCTTAATGACTGCTTCACTTAGCAACAGAGTTGCTGGTTCCAATTAGGATTGTTAAGCGAGGACTACCTGTAACAGCATGTAAGATGGAACATTTCATTTAAAAATTAAAACTGAAATTTCATGTATTATATGGAATTTTGTGAAATATTTATAGTTTATATAGAAGGAAACACAGGCTTCCTTCTCTGCTCAAAGATCCCCAAAAATGGTGCTTTAATCTTGACGGCTGTAAAAATAGCTGTTCAAAAACAGGCAGAAAATAAACAGTGGCAACAATTGTAGCCCATTTGAAATTCTTTCCTTAGTCCAGTCTTCTAGAAAAGTTCGGCTGAAAAGGAGACATCAAGTCAGCTCTGAAAATACAGCCAGTTCAAGCCAGCTAATATGAATGTTGGAACAGAGCATACATTTATAATCACTGCCCCTCTCAATTTGTGGAGCATCTGTTTTTTTGGCAAGGCGCTTGTTAAAAAGGGAAGCACTTGCATTCCTGGCATCAAAACAATTGCTTTCCGCTTAGGAAGAAGACATCTAAATCACAGAGCTTACGCTGTTAAGCCACCCCAGTATATGTGTACACACAACCTAAGGCTCAGGGAGGAAAGTAGAAGGTTAACTCCCAAGGAAGAGTGAAACATCTTGGCAGCTATGATGTACAACTAATTGGTAAAGCTTCTTCCTTTACAACAGCTTCATTAAAAAAGAGAAAAGCTAAATCAAGATCACAATTAGTGTTCATAGATTAGGAAAACGGGTAAGCCTGTATTTGTGCCAGTGAGAACAGATGACTGTGAAAGAAGCTAGGCCTGGGAAATTCGATGGAATGAATAAATGTTGGCTGAGAGACAGAACTGTAGGCCTAAGCAATTGCAAATGTATTAACAAAAGCCAGTAACTATCTGGTGTATTTCAGGGAAGGAATCTAATTTTGAGAACAGATTGGCGAAGCAGTTGTAACTGCAGGGACAGCTCTACTGTTAGGCAGAGAGGCGGCAGATGCAGGTAGGTGTTCATCATTCAGGAGGCAATGACCCATGAGGTGAAATGACTCTGTTCATTAACATCTGCCCAGATTCAACTCTGACCTAGGACAGAAAGTCCGCTTAACATCTAGTAAGGAATGTAATACTCCCCATAATGTGGGTAGGTTCATCTCCTGGTAAATACCAACTTCCTCACTATGGGGCTTCTGCATAAGTAGCCCTCCAATTTTTTGTCCCTCTGCAGGAAGATAGAACTTCATGTGCTAAAGTAGCCCTCTGTCACAGATTTGGTGGTGGTCACTGCAAGGTTTGAAATAAATTCATCTACCAGTCCAGTCAGGTAATGGACTGGGGGGAATGCTGTCTGTCCTTTTGGTAAAAATGTTATGGAAGGGAGAGGAAATTGCTGATCTTTCTGCCTTTCTGTCTATAGATTGCCACAAGGAACAGCTGAACATTCAAGAACTTCCTCTGCTTTTGCAGACCCTGAGCAGTACCATCTAGAAGCAAGGCATGGTTATGGCAATTCCCCCCCTCCATACTATCCTCCCAAAAAGACTTTTTCAGAGAAATGCTCAAACCTGTGCTCCCGAAGAGGTAGGCAAGCATTTTTCTGTATCCATGTCATTGTTAACTTATATTCAAGAAGCTTATAAAGACAGAATCTTCTATTACAGGCAGCTTTTTTCTTGTGGTGAGTAGAATAAGGTGGCGGCGAGAGAAAGTTCTCTGAACTTTTTAAAGGCAGAACAAAGAACAGAAGTCAATGTAATTTAAATTTACATCTTGGAGCAAAATCTATCTCATAAACAAATGGTCTAAATAGCTACAAATGTTCACATGAGATATGATCCTAACAGGCAAATTTTGCGAATCCAATATGGTTATATATTTCATGTTCTTCCATGATTTTGAACTGACATGGGGCTCTTCCTTTTTTCTTTTTTTTCTTTTTTTGCTTCCTCTCAATCTAACAGTTGTAAAAACTGTATGTGGGGTTCATGGCTAGTCATGGAACACTCATTTCCCACAAGTGAAGATGGTGTGAATGCTCTCTGTTGTACACATTACATCAGCCTTTGAGATATATCCCACTTTTCTGACTATCCATAATCTCTCAGAAATTCAGTGAAATCACAGTTAAGCTGATCTCAGACTGAGAAAGCCTGGATAATGAATAAGGCCTTGATTCCTTTCTTGAAAGCAGACAGGATAGAAGCTGACACAACACCCCAGGATGTACATTCCTTAAATAAAGATGGTGCTTTTCAACATGCAAAGCACTATTTGTTTTTTTAAACAAAAATAATATTGTAATTGAATATTGCAGGTTATACACTTATACTGCAAGCTTGGGAAGTCTTTAGGATAAAAACTAAGTGCAAATTAATATCGAAACCAAACATTAACCACAAAAGAAAAGATAGAAAGTGAGGCAAAATCTGAGATAGCTGCCCATTGTCAGTTAGTTGGAGCCCAAAGCATCTTGGAAGAAAATAGCTTTAACTTATTTATAGAATTGCAGCATGGCGGGGACTGCATGTACTTCTGGGGGAAGAGTATTCCATAATAGAGAGACTATTACAGATAAGAAAGGCTCTTTTGATGTTTTACCTCTGCAGAGTGAAGTTCATCACCTACGCACTAGCTTATTCTCAGCATTTGGTCTTTTTCTCTGTTATTTCATAAGTGTTCATAGCATCTTAAGCAACAGCAGGTTGAGATTTCAAGCATTCATTTATTAACAGATATTGGCTGTGAAGGAAGTAGCTGTCTTAGAGATAGCTAGTTGGCCATCTGTCAAAGATGCTATCATGTTCATCTTGCACTGAGCAGGGGGATGGTTTAGACTATTCTTAGCAACCTGGGGTCCCTCCAAAGGGTGCATTTCAACTCCCTGAATTCCCCAGTCAGTATGGTCATGGCTGATAATTCAGTTATTGGGTTTTGAAGTCATATATTGGGAAGGCTCCTTTAGAGGATCCCAAGACCTCTATAAAAATATTGGTTTGTATAATTAATTCTCCCATATGTTCTTATTTGGCTAATTAGAGTTCTGAGGGTTTTCTCCAACAATATTCTCAGCTATAGTCCACTCTTTACTGCTTTGCTTTTTATGCAATTTGCATCGAGAGGGATATCATTTTCTCTGCCATTCCAGGTATGAAATGTCTTGAATTAGTCCCTATTTCATTGCCAGAAGTTAAGATCGTGGAGAACAGAAGTATCCCAAATTCCTATCAGCAAGAGGAGGCCCTATATAGATTATCTAAACATGGATAGAATTGGACCGACCATAACTGAATTGCAAGAAAACTAATTGAAGCTATAGATTTAGGTACTATTGAATAGTATGGTAGCTACATAAAACTTTCTAGCAAAGCACATGATAAATGTTACATTTTTTACAACAGGGGTAGGAAACCTGTGATCCTTTAGATCAGGGTTCCCCAAAGTGGTCAATATTGACCCGGAAGGGTGGATGGAACTTTCCATTGTTGTTGTTTGAGGTACTATTAAAGTAATATTTATTAAATTATTTTCATATAATAAATGTTTGGGGGTCGATGAACGATCTGAAACTTTATTAAGGGGTCAATGAGCTGAGGAGTTTGGGGACTTCTGCTTTAGATGTTGCTGAACTACAGCTCTCAATAACCCAATAAATGTTGTGAGTTGTAGTTCCACAATACTAGGAGGATAAAAGTTCCTCACATCTCACTGTTCAGCTTCATGAAAATTCAGAGTATCGGGGACCTGGTATTGCTTGTTTTAATCTACAGTGTTCAGATATACAGTGTGGTAATAACAATCCTACTGGATACAGTCCAGCAGCAGATTAATAAATAGATGCTGCTTCACAAAGGATTATATGAACCCCTCCAAAGAGAATTGACAATTTCTCAAACTTCCTCCAACTTTGATATATTCAGAAATTGAAACGGACCTGGGGGTTTCATTAAATGGTCTTGCACATCCCCTGTTTTTTTTAATACCATTTAAATTATTGTAAGATTGATAGGTAGATAGATAATTTTTAAATGATCTTTTAAACCATATTTAAACAAACAAAAATAACCATATTTCATGAAGTCTAATTTAGTTTATTTGAAGAATCCATCCTTGACAGAATGAGCACAAACCTCAGAGTGTACTATAGGCAGGACCTAAGAACAGTTTCAGTAATTTAATAGAACTGCAAGAAAAAAATACCTTTCAAAGTATTATGCAAGCTGCATATCTATATCAACTTCCCTAAAAATAAGCTCCATTGAACTCAGTGGGACCTACATCTGAATAGACACGTATAGGATTGCTTATTAGTTTTCTTTTTCAAGGACAATGGAACGATTTTCTGTCCTTCGACTTTAAAAGTGACCTTTGATATTTCCTTTTAGTTCTTCCATATAGCTGAGAGCCAAACTTGAAACAGGAAGTCCATATTCTGATTTCCCCCTTTTTCTTTCCCCTTTGGTTAAAATGATTGGAGAGTGGGAAGATGGGGGTGGGGTGGGGTAAATTTGAAACAGATCCTAGAATCTGTTTGTGGGGGGAGGCTTTACATTTGAAACTGAAATTGCTGTCCTCCTACAGCTGCTATTAACTATAGAAGGGAAGACAAATTCAGTATGGGGAACTGTCTCCAAGTCTCGCTCCACAATTAACAGCAGCTTTGGGGTATGTCTTTAACCCAGAGAAATAGTGCATATCATGTGTGTCAGTAGTAAAGTTCCTGCTTCACATACACAATGTTCCGGATACATCCTTCCACATATCTGCACATTTTAATCACACAAATATAAGACATGCATTAAATGTAAATGCATTTTTATGTAGAACAGATTTTTAAAAGTGTAGATAGCATAAGGATGTGGTCTTAGAATGTAATGGGATCAGAACAGGAAATGTAGGGAATCCATTTCTCCAGTGCTGTGGAGCTGTGCAACTTCTCTTTGTTTGGAAAGAGAATCACCACTGTCTGAATTAGTTTGGTCTCAGAACAATACTAACCGGGGGGCGTTACAGCTCCAAGGCAGCTGGAAGATATCAGATTTGGGGAGGCTTTTTTAATAAAGATACTGAGTCTTACTACATGGGGTACGTACTACATTTGCACTCAGTGTCTTCTCCTAGATGTATAGCTGGCCGTCACATGATGCCGGTTGCAAAATAGCATTGCTGTGTGGTAAACTCCAGTTCTTGGCCACTGTTGGAGAAACAGATTTTTTACTTTTTTTCATCTTAGAGTTGGATGCAGTCCATGTTCCAGAACGTTGTTCCTCTGTTTCTGGGCACTTTGTTTGAGAGATGATATGCACCTTCTGCCTCTCAGCTTGTGTTTCATAATACAACCCAGAAAGATGCCCTATATGGAGTCTTGCAAGGAAGGACAAAGGTGGAGCAATGCATGGTGGCATTAAGGTGTGGGGAGAATGATTTGAAAATGGATGATGGAGCAGCAGGGCTACTTAATTAAGGTCATTAAATGGAAAAACAACTGATCTCCAGCTAGGTACCATCATAGTATACCAGTTCATAGTTCTGCATATAATTTAAATGTATTTTCCCTAACATGACTGCACGATTTGTCAGGAACTTTGTTAGGAATGTGAGTAGGCCGATATTGTAGAAGAGAAATGGATAGACCTTTTCAGTCAGTTGGCCTCCAAAAGAATTAAAGTCTTTAAAAAATTATCTTAATATTTCTATTTGTTTTTTTGGATCTACCTGTACTTTTTAAATTGAATTAGACTTCTATTACACCTTTTGTAACCTCAGAGCAACTTAGATGGCATTCTTAATGGTCCCTTCTCCAGGCAACTTCATCTCAATATCTACATTGCAACAGCTGGTCCTCAGTTATTCACTCCCCTCTTTTGTTGTTCTTTCAATAAGCAAGTTGGCCAGACTTTTCATTTCCCTAAAACAACGATTAAGGTTGCCATCCTGTCGCCATTTATAAGTGGGTAAGGCTAACTGAAGGTGGGCTTAATATGTATACACTCACTTGTCTTCTTGTGGAATAGTTTAGTTAGGTTCCAAGGATTTTGCTTTTGCTTTTGACTTAAGATGTCTAGGTCCTGCTAATGCTATATTTGACTGAATATCTTGAAGAACTGTAGGTTAGCAATTGCCTAAATTGAACTCTTATAAAAGTACAATGGCAGTGCTTCATCTACAGCATTCCCTTTTTTTCTCAGCAAGGTCATTTGCAAATTAGTGAGTAAATTGAATTTCAACAAGTAACATTAGAAAATAGCTATAAAATGATTGGGTTTTTTTCCTCCACTGGAATACACTAATGTTTAATAAACCAGCCTGCGTGTTCATTTGTGTGTGTGTATGTGTACTTTTTTACTTGCTTGGAATAATTTAATTTATTGTGGAAGTGTTTCTGTTAAATGATGCTGTGATAATTTAGGACTGAAACCAGAAAGCCTAATTATTGGCTTCTTCTTGCAACCCATAACTCTTTTCTAGCTGGCCGTGGTTTATCATGGACTTTGTTACTTTTCACAGGGAAAATCTTCTCACACCCTGAAAGAGTACACTTCCTTTTCATTATAAAATAAAAGTATGTACATACAGTAGTGTGT